GATGCTTATGAAAATTTTAAGAAGTTAGAATCTAAAGAGGGAGAGAAAGATATATATAAGTTTATTAAGATTAGAGAAAGGAAGAGTAGAGATTTTGATAACATTAGATGTATTAAAAGTGAGGATCAAATAGTTCTGATCATCGACGGGGAAATAAAAGAGAGGTGGGGGTGTTACTTTTATCAATTATTTAATGATAACCAAACAAGTGAGTAAAATAGAAATTTCGATCATATAGTGAATGATAGGAACTATAGATATTGTCGAAAAATTAAAATTAGCGAGGTTAAAGATGTGTTTACATCGGGAACGATTTTCATTGCAGATTCCACTACAAATGTTTTAATGAAAACAAAAGAGTGAGCATTACACACGTAAAACTTCTTTTTACAATAAAAACAAAATTTGTGCTTCCTAGAAACACAAGCAGAAACTCCTACGTAGTAGCCTCTGCTTGCATGGGATCTTTGCCTGTGTCGGGGATGCGTAATCCGTGGACCACCGATTCAACGATCCAAGTTGGACGTGAAGAAAGTTTAACATTGATGTTTCGACGTGAAAACAAGAACAGAAATAAATATATTAGCAAATTAAGATAAATACTCTTCTCAAAATCAAATCTAAGTTTGAAATTGAGGAAACACCGAAGGGCTCTTAAAATTACTTGAAAGTGGTGAAGAACTCTCTTTTGTGCTCAAAGTTCACCAAAAGCTCCCCTCTCCTTTCTGCTCAATGCCTTGTCTGCCTCTTCTCGTGCACAAGTGTGTCAAAGGGGTATTTATAGCCTTTGGAAGCCATAACCGTCGAAAAAGAATTAAAACAACTGATTGTCATCATTTCCTTTGGGCGAGACGGTGTTTACTGTCTCGGCCAAAGGAGATGGTTCCCGCCAGTTTGTCACCGTTGTTCCACTACATAAATTGCGTTAAATGCTGCAATTTTCGTAAGTAGTTGGCGTATTTCACGGCTACAACCGTCCATATGAACATTTCCCAGTAGTTATGGAGCCGCATGGACCGCACAAAAAGTCACAAAACCGTCAGAAAACACAAGAGGTTGTCTCGCAAACATACACTATCTCGAAAACGCGAAACAGTAGAGACTGTCTCACCAACTGTGAGACAGCTCCGTGACCCTTTGAATTGTCGTTTTGCGTTCTTCTTTGCTTCCTTTTGCTTTGGCTACTCTTCTTTGACTTAAATAATGACGTTCTTCATTTTCTCTCAGTCTTAAGCTGTATTTAGGACCTATAGGTAATTTCTGATGCCTACAGATACCCCCTCTAAAGTTTTTAGCCCTCAAAGTATTTTATCGAGTCTGAAATACTTTGGACAAGATAAGCACTGCTTCTGCCTAACATTGGATTGTGTAGAAGGACTCGTAAGTTGCTTTAGTTTCTTGACTTCTTTAGTTTTCAGCTTTTTCGGTATTTTATCAAAGAGTCTGAAATACTTCTGATACTGCAACGTCGCTGGCCATTGTTAAAATCTAGAACTGAAGTTGATATATTGACTTTTGAGAAGTTGAATTAGCTCGTATCGTTGAGTTGACGCTGAACAAATCATCTTTGTCAGGAGTTTGTAGCTGAATTGCAGTTGGACTCCCGCGCATAATTTTGAAATATAACCATCTTGACTCAAATCTTGGCGTTACTGCTAGAGCGTTGTCGGGCATTGACTTCTGTTTTGGTGTAAACACAGTTTATACTCATACGTAGCTGGAGTCTACACAGTTTAAGCTCTTAAGACGTTAGAGCATGAAGAAACAATTTATACTTGTATACTCATCGAAGTATTAGGGAGCAATTTAACCTCATTATACCAGTCGGAGGTTCATGGAGAAGCAGTTTATACTCGCATACTCATCAGAGTGTTAAGGAGCAGTTTAACCTCATATACTAGTTAGAGGATCACGGTGAAGCAGTTTATGCTCGTATACTCATCGGAGTGGCATGACGCTAACTGCAGAACCCAGATCAAATTGAATTCGGTTGACAGCAGTCAAACCAATGTACCCGGTAAAGTACAAAGGTCTGTCATGTTTTGAATTCCTCACTTGCATATCATCTCGACTGAAGGTGATGCAAGGAAATTGTTTGGCCATCAAGTTGCAATGTTGAATTGTTAGTTTGCTTGATCTGAGTGAGAAAGACCTCAGAATCAACCAGAGCTTCCTGCAAAGCTTCCCTAGTCTTTTTAGAGAGGCGTAAGCGTGATCCTCGTCGGAATGTTGGTCAGTTGAGCCATAACGTCAAAGCGAGCGATAAGGAGCATTTGAACTTTTCGGTTTGTCGATTGAAACGAGACTACTTCGGATTTTGAACTTCTTTGTTCTTAGGTTCCTTCTCCATTTGTTTCGCCTCAGCTTCGTTCTGCTTAGCCATTGGCTGTTGTTAGGGCTTCTTAGAAGGCTTAGGAGGTGTTATGACCACCCCCAGCTCGGCCAATGTCTTGGCATTTTGGTCAGGAACCTCTGGATACTTATATCGATACTCATTCCCACTCCTGGTGGCTAAGGCAGGCTCTCCATCAGCTACCAGGACTTCGTGCTCATTTTCAAAGAGTGAAAGGGTAGGGATACCCTCGTCATCTCTCTCGGGCATTGTTGAGGCAGGACAACAAGACTTGCACTCGCCTTTGGACTTCTTGGAGGAGGATCGTGTCCACTGTTCATCATCGAGCAGATCAGTATGGACCCATAAAACTTCGTCATTGGAAGCTGTATGCGGCACAAGCCCCTTTTGACGTTGTTCATATAGGTCATCATTGACAGTTTTCAACTCCACCTTCGATATGGGTTCCGGTTGGAACCACAATAAAGGTACAGATCCGAAGCTGATAGATACTGCGTTCGCTCCTACCTTCTCTTTCGGCTGTTTTGCAGTTATAATGCAGGCATCTATCAGGGCTTGAATTCTGTCTTTAAGAACAAAACAAGCCTTAGTGGGGTGGTGGACCCTCCTGTGATATGCACAGTACTTCGAATCTGAATTCTTTTTAGCTTCCTCCTGACCTGTGATTGGCGGCAACTTAATCTTGTTATTATCTAGGAGGTATTTGAAGATAGCTGGCACTTCATCATCCTTGAAAGAGCATTCCCTTGGGAATCTCGGGTTCGGGGTCCTCTGCTATCTCTAAGGC